CATTTTGTTCTGAATCTCATATACTGTAATTCATTGGTCAATTATTGTTTTAATTGCAACCTTGGGCAAGTGCACTCAATGTTTTATTTATATAAAAATATGAAAGACCAAAATGCAAAGGGAGTGTTCAGTGCATGGGCTCAATATCTTGTAGGTCTACTGTCGGCCCCATTGCCATGTCTTCATCTGTTGCATCTGATGTGAATCAGTTTTATGATCATCAAAGCACTTGATTTATAATTGGTTGCCTAACATTCCGTGGCAAATAGCTCGTGCATGTTAAAAAATGTGTCAGGATTGGGGAAACGAACACCAAGACACTGTATGAGACTTACAGGAAATTCCTTTATGTTCGACAGAGGCCATGACAAAAAGGATCCTCAATTTATAAGGGAAAGAGATAACTTTGTTGGTTGCCACCTACAAACCCACAAGCTATTCACTACCTTTGTATTTCTTGCGTGTTCCAACAAATGTGAATTATGTTGATGTTGCAACATTTGTAACAGAGACAGAAGACAGTTCTTCCTTTATTGAGGCGCTAAATGTGATACAAGAATTGAACCCAGTTAGGTCTCCACAGTATTTCATGCGCGACTATGTAGAGGGGGAAATCGCCTCACTTGAGTCCAGGTATACATTCTACATTCAAATATTCCATAATTCTTTTACATTATTTTTATTCTTTTATAAGCTTATTAAAGAAGAGACGAACAGGTGTCGCATGACCTATTAATAGCGCGTGCGTTTTGCGGATTTAAGATTGGTTCCGATTCTTTTATTACGTCAAGGCAATCGGTACACAAGGTAAACGAGCAAAATGGCAGACAACTGCGATCGCCTTCAGGTTCGCGGTCGCGTTTTAAAGAACGATAAATTCAAAGCCTGGACTTGTGAACTCTTTGAACGAAAGTGATACATATTTTCAATAGGGAGACCATAATTACTGTACGAGGGGAGCATTGGAACCAACAATAATCGAAGAGACACCAATACAGTTAAGAACATTTTGCAATTTCTACTGAGATCGAGCACACTAAAAACATGTTATGGTAGTTCAGAGAAATATTTTACTTGCTGATGTTACAAACACAGTATTATAGTTGATATCATTAAATTATAAAGTCGATTTTTTCTGGTTTTGACATAATTTATTTCCCGAGGAACATAGATTCAGATAGTGATGTCTATATAACACATTATCTGCCTTTTTGGCGACAGTTGGAATCCATCACGGGAACCCGACAGATTAGGGAATAGGAGATTTACCTTTTCAGTGAGCAGAAACATAAAACTGAAATGTGTCATATTGTATGGCAGTCTGAACGAATCTTTCACTTCTTCACTGTTTATCCACGAATAAAACGGTGATCTAATCCAAAATTGCAAAACAAGGATTTTATTCCAAACAACTATGTTCCGAAAGAAAATTTTTCTAAGACCAGACACAAAATACACCTAATGTTGCATTCAAAGCAGAGTGGCTTCGGAGGAATTCGTAGCTGTAGGGTTCAAGTCCCTTTTGGAGAACGCCTCGGATAAAAATTTGTAAAATCTTTAGGATTATCAACCATCGGAAAAGGCCAGTTAAATGACCTCGTGTATTCAGAAATTATGTGAATGGTCTTTAAAGGGGATGATATTTTTTTTTTTTTTTTTTTTTTTTGTAAATAATACGGAATCCCGATATTGATTATGTGTGAGGTTTACGGAATTATTTACAAAGTTTGGGCTAAGGTTAAATCAAACTGTAAATGAAATAAACTTAACAGTCTTTTGATGATAATTATTTTAGTATGCGACGTGTTTTACTGGTAAATTGTACTATAACAAACGTATGGATATAGTTTATATACAAATTTATCTGTTGGGTATCTAAATTTTCCATGAATTATATTAAAAACATTCTGCTTTAGATTGGTCTGTTTATAAAACGAAGATGCATTTGTATTTGATTTAGGAACCATAAAATGGAAGCAATCTTCATTTAATGATGAATTATCAGGAACTTCTGCATATTGCCAAAATTATGATCAGCTTGCAAGGAGGTAAGCCATGGCCTGAAAGGGATCGCATTGCCATCAAAATAATCAAAACAAGACGAAGAAATTATCTCAAGAACGATATGCTAGTTACGTAACGTCAGGTCTCTGTGAATGGATCCGAACTAAAGGAAGCCGATTAAGAAATTATCTCAAGAACGATATGCTAGTTACGTAACGTCAGGTCTCTGTGAATGGATCCGAAGTAAAGGAAGCCGATAAAATACTTCACGACTGCCGGAAAATGGGTCACCATGAGGAAAAGAAAAAGATTACGATCAAGTTTTCGAAAAAGCTCGGTCAGAAGATACTGTGAACACATTGCTCAAATGCCTTTTCACAAACATCAACAGATACACTTTTGAGTAAACCATTTGGGTCAGCCCAACTACCAAGAAAATCAATCCTATCCTTTATATGATGGTAAGTGGCGCTAGCAGCAAAGAATAAATGGTTAAATCTATGCCCACCCATGAAGGTTATCAATTGATTTTTAGTACCATCTTTTAATTGAGTTCCAAAATGCTGCCCAACACCTGACTTCTCACACCCATGTAGAGTGAATGCCTTGCTTGTTGTTCTGTTCTTGTTAACCTGCCAGCACCACTCTCCTCCCATTTTATGTTTTGTGCAAAAAAGTCATTTGAATCAAAAAGGAGCTGATTGCTACCTTCATCAATCAGAATTAAACATGTTTTAACATTTGCGCGCATTTATTTGGCTATTTATTAGGTAACTACAGGTAATAGTACTTATTTATTTATTAATTTATTCAATTATTTACTAGTACAAATACCATTTCCGTTAATCTGACTCTGAGTTCCCTACACACCAACGAGGAAGTGGAACCCAAGTGGGATTTCAAGCAGAATAAGTCCGTTTTATTATATTCTGTCAAAATGGAAAGTAAATCCATCGTATACTATAAATGATTTTTACCCGGTTTGTAATTTTTTGGCCCCATTTAAAAAACATAACAAAATAGGGCCAATTTTAACCCTTCGTGAACCTTCTCCTTTGTGACGATGACCCTCGGCGACTGAGCTCGGCGATCTTTGATCTTTCAACGTTCACGTCTCCATTAAATCGGAATAGATCTACTCGTGTTCCGTGCGACAATTTCTATTGCATTTTTTTTTTAAACATACCCTGAAGACCCTCAATGGTTTCAATGTTTTTCTATTATCTGCTTCAGTGAAGACACCAATGGATAGATCGTATGTAAATTAGCCACGTGTAAGTGACTTGTTGGACTTCATCTTACTTTTATATCAAAATATACGTTATTTGAGTGTTTTGCAAATCACCTGTTATTGTCTCTCTAAGACTATCAAAAATTCTTCTTTTTTTTGTTTTAAAAATATGTCTTCTTTTAATCTTTATAATATGTCTCGTGAAATAGTTGCAGACGAAAATTATACTCCATGGTTTTAAAAACGTTTGAATCGACGCGTTCTAAAGAGCTTTTACAAGCGCTTCAATCACCTGATCACTGCACGAGCATTCTGCTTCTGATTCTGCATTTGAAATGTTTCAGTGTAATCCTTGCGAATTTTCAACAGAAAAACAGAGCAATTACTGCAAACATCTAGAAACAAAAAAGCATAAAGATGTAATAGGTTTATTGCAGTTTTGTGAAGAAGAACAAAGTACAGAGACAAATGATGAGAACTTCAACATTGACAGTGACAGTGCAACTAAACAGGAACTCGATGACTCAGAGATTTTTACAGACGACTACTTCCCTTTCGCCAACAGGCTAGAGCTACTGCTCTACGTGTTACGTGGATCAAAATATCACTGTATAGTAAGCGCTTTTATAATCATATATATTGCAATCTTCAATCTTGCAATCATGGTGTCCGGTCAAGCAAATTAGTATCAATCCCGGGGGGGGGGGGGGGGGGGGGGGGGGGGGGGGTTACTGACTATCCTTTCGGTTATAACTGTGCCGACAGCACTTGCCAAATCATACCCTGTTCTAACTAGAAAACATTGAAAAATATACCCTGTTCTAAACAGATATATTGAAAAACATACCCTGTTCTAGACACGCCCAAGAAAATGTAAAATAGATGCTGTTCTAGACCCGGGACCGGGTTCTAGACTGTATCTTAAACAGTTAAATAAGCGATCCTGTTCTAGACAAATACTTTGTTTAAAAAAAGACCCTGTTCTCACCAGCAGGGCATGAAAAAGTGACCCTGTTCTAACCAGCAGGACATGAAAAGGGACCCTGTTCTAACCAGCAGGGTATGAAAAAGCGACCCTGTTTTGCGGCACACTCGTACCACTAAAAATATAGGATTTAACCACCCCCCCCCCCCCCCCCCCCCGGGTATCAATTTCCAAAAATACACTTTATATGGATGCATAAAAATATGAAAAAATCTTGCACTGAAGTTTCTTTATGATATATAAATGCATTTCAAGAATTGGATAAATATTATTTTTCACCAGTAATTCGTTTCATATGACTTTAAGAAGATGTGGTATGATTGCCAATGAGACTATGAACTCATCCTGATAGTGATAATTAAATGACAACAACTACTTGTCTAAGCACAACCTTCAACTATGAGTAAAACTAATGCATCAAAGTAAGCTATATCATGATAGAAGGCCCAGAAATGACAAATAATAAACAATTGAAAAAAGAAAATTAATGGCCTGATTTAATTTATACTGTACAAAATATTAAAAATGAAAAACAAATATGATGTATAATTTAACAGCCAAAAAAGATGACCACTAAAATTGTGAACTACATGCATGCAGACTTCCACATACAGGAAGTTGCTGGTTAACCAAACCCTTCGCCAAACCTGGAACAATGGTGTACATTGCAAAACTTTCTATTTTTAGGATCAAGAACTTTTTAAGTTTATTTTACACATAATCAGAGTAGTAGTTGAAGACAATATAAAGAGTATTCCTCCATTCCATAAGATGTGGAATCTTGACATTGAAGGATTAGAACTTAAACCATCAGTGGTAAGATACATGTAATCTAGCTGTTTTGACAAATTTGCTATTTTTAGAATACTTTTAATTGAAAATGGATAGTAATGAAATTTTCCCTACAAATGTATGTATGTTATAATGTACAATGTATTACTTATTTAAAAAAAAATTGCCATGATTTTACCACTACAAATTTTAGATGAACATCGAAAAGTCAGAAAGAGAAAATTCCATAGCACAATCACAAATTGCTAATATGACCATGCAAAATTTTCAACAAAAAACCAGAAAATTATGATACTAAGAATTTCAGAGAACTTTTCAATATCTTACAAAACTGTAAGATGAATATAGTTATGCCATATTTGTCATTTTTTTTGGTTTATTGCTTTGTGCATGAATTGTGCAGTTAGTTTCCTTGTTTGAATTATAATAATGGATAGATTATAAAATGATAGGGTTTGGAAATTAATATAGGGACCAGGAGAGGCAATTTATATTATTATACCTTACATATATTACAAACAATTCTATTGGGTAACACCTTATCACGTGACATGGAATAATTCAGTTAATTTTCATTTAATTGCAAGGGGGGACGAATAACCCATAAAATTTACACCAGCGATGAATGACCCTATCATTCACCGGCGAATAACCTTTTGAGTGTCTAGATTTGCACTTGAGTTATCTCCCATGAAAATGACGTCACAGACGTAAATAAACAAAATGGCATCGTTCACGTTACACTGACAGCCTATCGAGAGACGAGGAAATAAGGCTTTGGACATGAATAGAGTGCCAGCAGCCAATGATATCTCTTATAAACGGTCCTTTTCAGGGCCATCAATATTTTACAAAAAGATTCAACCTTTGTTGTACATTCGAGAAATTCCAGAACACAAATGTATTTTCAAACCTCAGCTTGTGTTTGTTATGTAAAGAAGATAGTAAGTGTTCTAAATGCCCTTCCACTGTTAGTTCGGTATATCATAAAACAATTGTGGCCCTTAGAATCCATGAATATCCAAAATTGTCAACCCTTTAAAGTTATTTCACTTCGGGCTGCGCCCTCATTGAAATAACCTTCTTGTGTTGACAATTTTGGATATTCACCTTTTCAACGGGCCATAATTGTATATTGTTTAAAGACAAACTTTAATGTTATTTCTTTCAGTCTTCTAATAAGGGTTTGGAAATTAATATAGGGACCAGGAGAGGCAATTTATATTGATTAAAGACAAACTTTAATGTTTTTCTTTCAGTCTTCTAATAAAGATACCGACAAAGACATCTTTTACATAAAGCCATCTAGTATAATTGAAATGCAGCTTTCAAAGAAAAACACAGCAATACAGTTACAAAGGTAGTTCATAATGTTATTTTTCTATTATTCTTTATACCAGCCTACCACTTAATTGTTTCATCAGCTTTAAGTTATTTAAGTGTTATCTTAAGTCTAAAAGAGAGGTGAAAGATACCAAAGGGACATCCAAACTCATGAGTCAAAGATAATGGCTATAATAGAAAAATACTCAACAGTCACAAACAATTTAATGGTTCTTTGAAATTTTTTATTTATTTATAGAAAAGAAAGTTAAGAATTTTAAAAATATTGAAATATGTACAGATTTTCTTTACAATTATCAAAGCTTGAAATGAAATACTGGTAAACTACCATGTAATATACTATTTCAAGTCTTGATATTTAGGTGTATCATAAGCAGGGGTCAAAATTGGCGCTGGTCTGGTGGACCAGTAGAATTTGCGTTGGACCAGTAGATTTTGTCAGCTGGTGGTCCGGCGGACCAGTAGAAATTTGTCGATAAAACTCCGATTGCATCCCAAAATCGGTTTGTTTGCAAACAATTTTACCTGCAAAATCAATTACACTGTACTGGCGGTACTAAGTATTACAATTGATCAAGTTAATTAATATCGTGAGCGTCCTTCACAACAACACAAAATGTGGAAATTTTTGGAAGGACATCTCGACAAAAAAATAAAAAAGTGTCTTTCAAGAGGAAAATTGGAATAAAGTTTAAGAAATTGACAAAAGGAAACGTTAATATAAAAAATCCTTGGAAAAAGATCGTGAATTGTTAAATTATATAGTCGATCGCAATGTAGTGAATTAAATAACAAGTGAAAAATTTGTCCCGGCTATTCAAATGTGGCATTTCTGGGCAGCGCTCCAGACAACCCAGTCAGGCGCCCTATGGTCGTCGTGAGGATTGTTATGATATGGAAGACAATGTTGACATTTTTTCTGTTCTTGATACTGATTTTGATAAAGAAAATCATTGAGATTATCAAAGCCATTATCAAAATCAGGATGGAGACTCTCTCTTTTTCTAGTCTAACATATGTAAAAGAAAGCACGAAAATAAAAGTAAATATCTATCATTTATATTAGTGTGTGTCAAATTAATGTCATTTTTGCAGGACCAGTAGATTTGCACCCGGACCAGTAGATTTTTCAGTCCACTGGTCCGGCTGGCCAGTATACATAAAAGCTTAAATTCGACCCCTGATCATAAGCCAAAGATCAAGACTTAGTGACTACCATGTACTTCATCAATAATTAAAACATCCTATACCCAATGCTCAAGCCAAAATTTGGGTTATATCATCAGGTCACATGTTTACCGTATCATGTCAAAAAGTTTACCGTAACATGTCAAAATGTTAACTGTAACATGTACATTAGCTTAATAAAGATTAGGTACTGTAACATGTGTAACCATTGAACATCCCATCGGGATTTTTCACTGACAGGATAATTGAACCTGTTTAGATATCAACAAGATTCATATTTATCCACCTGATATATATCTGATCTACCTGATAACTGTACCGCCAATTAACGGAACAGCCTGTTTACTGAACAGCTCAGGTTAACTCTGAACCACCGGTTATCACAGTTACTGTATCTTTATTAAAAGGGTGCAAACATTAATCTTCCATTCCTCCTCTGATGATGGCCCCTTTATAATAACATTTTTTTTCTTTCAAAAATAGATTTCCCAGACAAAGCAACTTTTTTGAAGGTCAAAGTAGTGGAAGCAAGTGGAAGACTGAAATAAAGTCTTTGATGGCAAAAAATTCATCTTCAGAAAGAATATATATTGGTGACAACGTTCAGAATAGCACAAATGGAGAGTGTGGGACTGTTGTTCAGTTTTTTTCCCAGGTAATAATGTAGATTTAATGAAGAAATGTTATTTCCACTTCTAAGAGACCAAATGACACAGGAATAAGGTTATTTTAAGTCAATAAAGTACAGCTACTCTGACATGTTGTACGTTGTATAATTGAATTAAAATGTTATCATTGCGTGTTAAGTGTAACAATTCTGAATATATATGAACGAAAGTTGTGGATCTTGCCTTAAACAAATAACACATTTTAAATTTAAACACATTATGTAAGAAAACCTTTGTTCACACATGTATCTAATATTTTTATAACTGTATATGACTTCTTTAGCTCAGATTCAGTCATCTGTTTAGACATGGCAACTACATCCTATATTGTCATTGACACTTATTATTATGTTTTTTAGGAATTTGAAAATACACATCAAGTATATGCATCTGTAAAGTGTGAAAGGTTGGTATAAACACTACAAATGTAAAGAGAAATAAAATAATGAACTGGTATACATTCATTTTGTGTACATTATAAAAGTTGAAGACAGCAATTGAACATCATTAAATGCTGTTTTTTCTTCTTAAAATTACAGTGCATGGTTATTTCAATGTGTAGCAGGAATTTATCTTGCTATCAAACCAGTGAATCTACATTTTTTTTTAATTATTAACATTGAACAGATTGAAAATATAATATTGAATAAATACAACATGCACTCATGCAGTTTTTTATACGCCCGTCAATTTTTGACGGGACATATTATGGTATACAAATGTCTGGTGTCCGTCCGTCTGTCTGTCCGGCGTAAACATGTCGCACTGTAACTTGAGAATGACTTATCCAAATTTCATGAAACTTAACATAGTTGTTTCTTATGATGGTCAAACGATCTGTATACTTTTTGGTGAAAATAAGATTAAAACTTTTTGAGTTACAGGACTTAGTAACTAAAACAGGTGTGTGTTTTTTTTCACATGTCACGCCGTATCTCAAAAACAGTTTATGATTATTGCTTAAAACTTTACACACTTCTTAGTTATATTCATCTTAAGATCTGTATACTTTTTGGTGATATTCAAAATTTTATTTTTGAGTTATTGAGTATTTTGTAAAAAAAGGGGGAGGGGTTTTTCACATGTCGCGCCGTATCTCAAAAACGATTTATGATTATTGCTTAAAATTTTACACACTTCTTAGCATATTAATCTAAAGATCTGTGTAATTTATTGGTTTTGATTCAAAATTTAGTTTTAGAGATATTGAGTTTTTTGTAAAAAAAAGAAGGGGGTTTTCGCATGTCACGCCGTATGTCAGAAACTATTTATGCTTATTGCATAAAAATTCACACACAAGACGACGGGCGTATCATGCGCTCATGGCGCAACTGTTTATTTTAGTTGATATATGCACTTTCATCTACATGAAGGATATTTTTTTACTCAGGTAGTGATGGGATTTCTCTTTAATAGAAGAAATTAAAAGGTCCCAGTGAATAAAAATAACTGAGAAAATAGGACAAGTGAAGTTAAAAATGTTTAAATCCAATTATCAATAGGGGAGATCTCTGTAAACAGTTTCATTTAAGAATTGAATGCTTCTTTTTGTAAACATACATGTAATTTAATCATTTGGTTCACATTAAAACTTTTGAAATTAAGTTACTAATTCAAACTCACCATATCTAGATGTAAAAATTAAATCATATACAAAAATTTCAGCAGTACAAGTAATAGATATTTTCAGGAAATGTTTATTATGTTTGTATTTTTTGGTAACTGTGAGTTTTAATATAATTGTAATCTCTATTTGTAGTACAAGAAATATATCTGTGATAGCAAATGATCTGTTGAAGTTGGACCAGACAAATGTGAGTTTGTTATAAAAAAATAATTCTTATATGATTTGCATATTAGAGAATACGTTGATATGATTGGTTGAGAGGACTTCCGGTAGTTGTTCTTGACGTTGTTTATTTTTCGATAGACGACGTTGACCGAACTTCTTTTCGTAACCAATGTAAACAAGATGGCGGCGATAATGACACAATCCGGATTGACGTTAACAAAATTAATTTTCAGTTCGCGTTAATAGGTCTCAATATGTAAATTAAATAATAAACACAAAACATTCGTTTGAATGATAATAAGAGTTTTTGTAGTTTATTTTTTATCAGATTGCAAATTTCACGGAGTACATATTTTTGCGTTAACCAACAAATATATTCATGCGCCAGGCCTATTCAATGACACAAATATACAATTTACGTGTGATAGAGGTTACGAGTGTGGAAAAATAATTCCTTATCTCCAATTTTAAAGAATTATAAGGATTAAACGCCTTTTTAAAGGAATTTATTGGTGTATAAACTGTACCAAGTCACTCACAAACATATCATAAAAGTCCTTTGGACTTTTATTTGTTTGTGAGTGAATTGGTCGAGTTTATACACCATTAAATTCCTTTAAAAAGGCGTTTAATCCTATAATATTATGAGCTACTAGATTAATACCTGTGTGTTTATATTTTGATGATGATGCGATCAAATTAAATAACCCTGTATGAAATATTTCACACAGAATGAACACGGAATATAGTAGGAATATTGTAATGAATTCCTTCCAGAAAAGAGTTATATTCCAGTCAGACTCCAGTAGGAATCCACACGGAAAATTATAAGACGAAAAATTTAAATTAGCAGGAATTTCTTAGTAGGAATATTGTATATTCCTACCATGAATATTTAAATTATTAGGAATAATTTGGCGGGAAAATAAAATTCCTACTAGAAAACCTGGTAGGAATTTTTCAAAATTCCACATAGAAAAAACATATTTTCTAGTAGGAATCTAAAAATATACAAAATGTAAGTGTATATTCACAAATACACAACTAGGTCAATCATTTAAGTTTGAATCTCAACAACAAAGAACAAAGGAAATGTATGGAATAGATTTATTAAAAAAAAAATGACTTTTGAAATGTATGAGGAAACTGTGATGTATTCAAGTTAGAAATTGTGTTATATATGTAGATGGACAAAAATGTTGATTAGATGAAATTAAAGAGTTATGAACAAATAATGAGGAAAGTTATGCACTGTTGTTGAATTAACTAATATATATTGGCAAACAGATATCAAATTTCATATTAAGGTAGAGAGGGTGTCCTCCTCCATCTTGGATTTTGAAATACCAGAAAACAATCAGTCTAGATCTATAATAAAAGGTACAAATTTTGAGAGTAGTAGGCAATTCATGTGTAAGAATTTTCATTTCAATATAGAAAATGACATATTTTATCATATTTATGGTTGTATTTTACAAAAAAAATGAATACTTTTGTTTGATTCTATATTTCCCAACGTTGCCACATAAGGGGAGGCAACTCAAATGTAAGGGCAGATAATTCACATAAGGTTATTTTTACAATAGAATGTGTTAGGAATTTACCTATTTTATTATGTAGCAAGAAATGACATGTTTAAGTAAGTGTAAACATTAATTAGCAAAATAGAAAAAAAAAATACTTTCAAGAAAAAGACTCATTGGTGTGTATATTTTTACAAGAGAGGGTCAGTGTAGAGCAACACCTGTAAGGTGGTAGTTGCTAATGGCTAGTACTTCATCTCTATTTGATCAGATTTAGGTTGAACAGAGACAAACATTGAAAAGAACTCAATAACATGTCTCGCGGAGTCATCGATCTCTCGTTTGTGCATTGGGGTCTATTTAGGGGTATTTTAAGGGGCCTGAATAAGGGAAGGGTTAACTAGAACACTAGATCCCCACCTAAACCATATATATACTTGTATAGGACAATAAAACAAATCAATTGAAAAATATTAATTAATTTGCCTTAATCAATTCATTAAATAAATATACATGTTTAAATGATTTTACACTATTCATTTTTTGGGGCTCTTTATAGCTTGCTGTTCGGTGTGAGCCAAGGCTCTGTGTTGAAGACCGTACCTTGACCTATAATGGTTTCCTTTTATAAAATGTGATTTTGATGGAGAGTTGTCTCATTGGCACTCATACCACATCTTCCTATATCTATGTACAATGAATGCTTAATGTTTGTTCTTTCAAATTGTTTGCATTGATTTTTGGTTAACTGTCTATAGCGCTATGATTTATATCGCTTATTATCAGTGGTCCAATTGACAGTTATTTATATGGCGCCTAGACTAAAATACACAAGAAATGAAGCTACATATTATCGAGCTATTATATTGTTTATTTTAGAATTTTTATAATTTGGATAAATATTTTACATTGTTATAAATCAAATATGAGAATTTTGAGTCAAATCAGAATACATGAAATCCCAAACTTGATCAATGTATTTAAATTTTAGTGAAGGAAAAGTAATGTATGATGCAGCTTACAATAAAAATGTTATTGTAACATCCCAAATAGCAGTTGGGTTAATGGACAACAGTATGGCCTCAGAATTTTGTCACCACATGGGTGCTGCAGCTAAAGAAAACTGTAGATTTTGCAGGGTAAGACAATTAATGATAAATATTATCACTGATAAATAGTATCTGAGTCAACAATAGTCTCAGGTTTCCTTTTTTCCATTGCTGTGTAATATTATAAAGGTTTATTGACATATGATAAATTGTTTTCTTTTTTTCTTCTGTTGAAATAAGATAGGTCTACAGGACACAGTTTTAAATCTATGACTTATACAATATGAAATTCATGTCAATAGCTATAAACAGTTCCCGAAAGTTCATGAACACTGCTTAAAGCTCTTTTGGGTTACTTGTCCAAAAACTAAAATCCTCTTTTAGCTCTCATGGCCATCACTTGGTAATTTCTGCCATCGTTCTTAAACTTTCACAAAATTCTTCTATGAAACTATTTAGCCAAATTGAACTTATCTTGGCAACAATCATTATTAGGGTGTCTTGTTTTAAGATATGTGTCTGATGACCCCCACCTGCCAACCAACATGTCCTACATGGCTGAAAATAGAACATAAGGGTAAAAAGCAAGTTTTGTTTATTATTTTGAAGCTGTTATAAATATTGAAAATCTGAAAGGGGCAAAAATGTTCAGAATGTTTAGCTCTACCAATTGTAAATATACATCAAAACTTTTCTTGATATTTCACAAAATAGCACTGAAACTGACTGATTTGCATTAACAACCTGTTTAAATATTTATTATCCCCCTTGAATTTGATCATTATCATTTCTTGCTGATAGAAATGACATTGCATTTAAGGAATAAAAGTACTGTAGTTGAAAAGTTGCCACCGTCAATTGTCCATTTGACGGTCGCAAATGTAGTTTTACTGGTGACGCTTAGCGGAGACAGTAAAACAGAGATTTGCAGCCTTCAAATCAAAATTAACGGTGGCAACTCTTTAACTACAGTACAGTTATTCCGATTCTAATACATTACAAAAAGAAATAATACGATAAAGCTTGAAAAAATGTATAAATTTGACATACAAAATAAATTCTGCGAAACTTAGTGAATGATTTTGGCTCGAAGACGTCATGGCTAAACGTGACGTCATACAAATGAAAACTTACAAACTGGAGGTTATTACGTTACCTCTGCGATTCAAATTCGGATAAAATTACATTAAAACGGTGAATTCGAGGTAGGTGTTGTTTTATTTTCGATGATATTAGTAATTGAACATTTATTGATTCAATCAATTCAAAATGGCGGGTCCCTCCTTAGTTACGCCTGGTCAACTGTGGATTTGATGGTAACTTTTAGCCAATGAAAAAAATTGTTACATAAAAATTGCATTAGAATTGTCTGCATTAAACTTTATGAGCCATCAATGTTCCCAGTCTGCTAATTTATTCAGGTCCTATATTTTATGGTCTTGAATTGGATCACATTTTTTTTTAACAAAAACCCAATGACTAAAAATTAATCATATATATTTTATCTTGTTCCTTTTTTTGTCAGTATCGAAATAACCACTTACTTATTGGAGAATTAAGAACAAAAAATAAAACTGAGGAAATTCTAAAAGAGATTGAAAATAGTACAGAAACATCAACAATGACTGGGATAAAAAAGAAAATATTGGCTGAAGAAATGATCAAAGCTGCTGATTGGGATCCACACAGGTATGCATGACTTTATTATATATTATTATATATGGTGTGAAAGCATTATTAGAATTACAATTTATAATCATTTTATAGTTATATATACAAGAAGCAAAAACAATTACATACACTGAAAATTGAAACTTAGCTTTGGACATGCACACTTCATATATATTGTGAGGCCCACACATACACAGGAATGTTGAGAATGCTGAGCTCTGCCAATTGTTTACATTACAAAAAATCTGAACTTTTTTTTTCAAATAATCACTGAACCATGAAAGTGAGGTTAAGGACAATGGACGTATGACAGGCAAAAGCTTATGAACATGAGGCATAAACAAAGTATGAAACATGCATGTCTTCCAACTTCTTAGATCATAAAGCTTTTAAAAAGTTAGTTGGCATCGCCGCCGCTGGATCACTATCCCTATGTCTAACTTTCTGAGACAGAAGTTGTGGATTATGGTAATGTTTACAATAAATCATAAGGTACAGGTGCAGGGTAGTTAATTTAAGAACCATATATATTTGTATTCTGTAAATTTGTTACACCTAAATCAAGATTCATTATTGATTTAATCAATAATTTATAATAAAACTGCAATAAAAATATTCTTACAATAGGTATCACATATGATATCAAGAAATCCACAGTTTTACTAAAGCTAAACAACCAGCTGCACTGTTTAATTATTGTTTTCTTTTTAATTATAATTTCAGGGACATTCCTCCAGATATGCTTCATTGCATATACTTAGGAGAAGTTGCAATCCTATTAAAATGTATGCTAGGCAACTGTACTGACCAGCAGAAGGTAATTGTGACTTGATATCTTTTGTTTTAATGCTAATCATTCTTTTAAATACTATAAAATTTATTTATGTAATAGTCTGATTTATTTCTTTTGGATGCCTACAATATAATTTTTTTTTCACAGGTCTATGTTCTAAGTAAAATTAATTAGTGTGATTCAAATTCTTAATCCTAATCTCAACACCAAGCTATGGTATCTATTGGTGCATTATAACCACAATTTTTTGAAGCATCAAATGTTTATTATTTCTATTCGGTCAAACACATAATGGCACATAATGTTGTTAAATTCTTTCATATGGAAAACATGTTATCATACTGACACATCTGCAACTTACATTTATGAAAGCAAGTTATAAATTATAAATGTAAAAATTAACTCAATTTTAATGATTATTGATCATAAGTTAATGTGTATATATAGGCTTTACTCATTGTTGAAGGCCGTACAGTGACCTAATAGTTGTTTATTTTTGTGTCATTTGGTCTCTTGCGTAGAGTTGTCTCATTGGCAATCATACCACATCTTCTTTTTTATATTTATTAATTATTATTTACTGAACATACATTGAAATCAAATTGACATATACTATTGTCCATTAAAGAAACAAATTATGAAATATGAAATACATATTTGAACTTAACCATTGAGACTTTTGGACTGAGCTATGCAAATGTTAGAATAAGTTCAATACCGTTTTAGAATCTAATGCATTCTGGGTAATATTTACAATAGCGTACACCAAAATGTTGTGATTGGTTTAAAACGTGATAAACAATAGAAATGCAACCAATGACGTGACTTTATTTTCATTTTGGTGTACGAACAATGAGATTACCCATAGTCCTTTAGATTCTGATTAGGCGAATTTACAATATGTATTCCCTTTACTTTTAATGGATCCTGAGTAATTGTCTCTATTATTGGAAAATTGTAGAATACAGTTGTGAATTCCAGCTGATAAAAAGCCAGCTTATCTTTATGAAATGTTTATACATTGTATTTAAATTTATGAAGTGTTTTGTATCACAGCACACTTTAAGATCAATCTTTGGTAAAACATTTTTGGTAAAGATTGCATAATCAAAACCGTTTTGTTGCTAGCTAAGGATAGTTGAAGATAATTCTGGTTCTTTTAATACTTCTGGTTCTTTCTTACAGGAAAATTTACAGCTAACGTTAAATGCAAATGACTGGAAGGGCTTTCATCACAAATGTGGAGAAAACTTTGTGAAACATCACAAATCAAGCCAAGGGAAAGACTTCAGGTCATTTGAAAGTGCCAACTCATTAAATTGCTGAATCCATTAAAGAATTATATGTTTTATATAGAAATCTGGAATCAGTTGTGGATTGGTGATTTCAATTGAGTGTTACTTATTACTTAGCAATGCATGGGAAATTGCAGTTGAATCCAGAAACAGACCATGTAAACTATTGTGACTGTCATAATCATCACTTTGCATCTATCCATGAAACCTATGGCAAATAACATCTTACACATTTGGAACTGTATCATAGTAACAATTAATGTACATTGAGGTTCCAATTAGGGTTAAAAAAACCATCTGATATACCCTTGCTTTTTCCAGTTTTCCAGAATATATACTGTTATTGCTATTTTACGAATTTTCCTTTGATCTTGTTGACTGATAATTTCCTTTCTCAGCGGAGTCGTCAGTGATATGAAAATAGAGTTGAGTGATGAAAATTATCGCTAGAAATTAAGGGAACATGTGCTGTTGTCCAGGAAATTAACAACATCTTCATAGGCTAAATAGCGATAAAGAGATTATCATTGGTCATCTCAACTCAATTGCTTATCTTACTTTCCCCGTCCAGCTGAAGCAAGAAAATCAATCTCTTGAGATGATCAACGATAATCTATAAATATCTTTTGTTTTTAATCCAATGATCAAACTATATAGACATATTGTAATCTGTAACTATTTTAACTAATCGATCAACAAGTAAAATAGTGTTACCATATGCAGTATCTGTTTGAAATAATAAAAATACAGCATAAATGTATATTTAATATAGAGCATAGAGCATTTTTATTTCTAAATCTAGGTACAACTTGCACCCTTTACAGTTCATCACGCAGGATTTAGTAAAGAAATAGTAAAACTTTGGTGTCTATTGTCTGAGGTAGGTAAAACTAACAGGTTCAACTATCTTACAAGTATCATAACTATTTTGATAAATTGTTTTATATTACATAAGCAAAAGGAAGCATTCTTAGGAAAATATTCTCATTTATGCTGCAACTAGTTGTGTTTATTTCTTAAATAAAGTAACACAGCTATAGTTTGTGGCCCGAGAACACAGTTATTTCGTAGTGCATTTCTTTAAGACAATAAATTCAAATTAAAAAAATCGCACCTGCTCTATCTTAAAAATATTTTTACAGTGTAGTGTACTACTATTGATACAAATAATATCAAAATTATAGAAACTTCTACCAGCTCTAACTCAAAGTATTGACAATTCTGTGTTAAGGGGGGCTAAAATTCAGTTTGACAGCTTCAGACATTCTAATTTTTGACCTTTTTAAACTGGATCAAATCACTACTTAACATAAAGATTCAGCACCCAAATTTTTTTAACATGTAATTTCATCCCCTTACTTAATATTTCATGCATAAAATATCTAGAAATAAATTGGGAAAGTGTATCAAAAAAAAATGCAAGTTATACACTGTTCACACTAGGGACTATATTTGTAGACAACGAAAACCAAAGGACGATAACTGTGTCCTTGGACCTAATAGGATAGAAAGACTTGACCAATTTTAATAAAACTTTGCATGACCTAAGCTTAGGCAATTATAAGATAGTTGGCCAAGTTTCATGGCCATAGGATATATATTATAGAAACTAGGGCCATTTTAATATTGAAATTTGAATGTTTATTTTTGACGTTTAAATCAAATATTTTCAACTGTCAAGATTTTGGCCTAAAAAATTTAAATATTGCAAAAATTAGCTTTTTAAATACTCTTGAATTTAATATAATAAGTATTAAAAGCAACGGAACACTCATTTGATTTATCAGATTTATTACAGTTATTCAAAAGTCAAATTTATATGAGCCTGTGCCTGAAAATAGAGATTTTCGAATTAAGGGAAGCCTTACATAAACATGCATTTTTTTTCAACCAATTTGAAGTTTTTGAAGTTTTTTAACCATACATTATTCTTCCATATATATTAAATGTACTTTAAATGTAAAGAAAAGTTACAAAAAGCATACCACATGAGTATAAAATGGTCTTAGGCCATGTAAGACTGAGAATTATTTAGAGTCGATTTAGGCCGTAGCCCATATTTACATATAAAAATGCACACAGAGGCTATAAGAAATTGAAATTTGTTACTTTTTGCTCATTTCTATGCTAAGATGTCATGATACAAGAAGTCTAATTGCAAAAGGACTCTTGAATTCAACCAATAACAAGGCCAATACAGAAATACTTACCCAATGATATTATAGAATGACAGTATGGTTCAATAGCGGGAATCAGCCCCTCAACTACTTTTTACATAAATATTAACTTCTGGCTTCAACGCTTTGTTCGTCTTGTCTGGAGATCTTGCTGTAGTTCCAGTTCAGCAAGCATTTTAGAGACGTATCCCGTCCATCCTCTTTTGACTTGTAATCTCTAGTGATAGATTTTGCCGCTTGACATTGTATCCTTTCAAGCTTGTTTTTTTTTTGTTACCGTGTAGGGGTCCCATACTATGGCTCCATATTAAATTATAAGATCCATTCCTAAAGATCTAGATCATTGTTCTAATCTGACACAAATTTCAATAACTGGAATGCTACACAAGTTGAATATATGGTGACCCACGAGAGCAACATTATCACTATTGAAATTGTGTTTAATACCATGATTGTTCAATGTCATTAACTTAAATGGAGACAGACCTGAAAGACATGAAAGGTGGTGTGGGAGTGCAAAATCAAAAACTAACTGACTATGATATATGGTTAAAGAATGAATATCAATTACATGGGTCAACATGGTCAAGGGCAGAGTTGTTATAAAATAACAATATGGCAGAGAAGCGGTTTCAAGTTTCATATAAAGCGACCTGACTGACATGAAATAAAAAATCGAAGGAGTATCCCTATTTGTCTAATCTTCAAGGTGAAATAAAACTAGTAAAACAATATTATACTATTGTCTAAATATAAAGAAATATAATTTGCTTCAAGTAACAGAAATAACTAGGTCACTAGTAACTTATTTAATGAGTATGTGGGGTATAAGAGCTTGCTAACAACAGGCTCTTCATAATCATTTGGTCTGAAAAGGATACTAGTAGTCTATATTCTTGATTTAGAAAAATGTAATTGCAAGAAAAAAATCACATTACTTAGAATACTTTAGATCATTCAGGTAGTCTTTATTTATATGTTCAAAAGAACAGCCAGTAGTCATTGGATATTGTAGATCATTCAAATAGTCTTGACCTTTTTATTAGTACAAAAGAACAGCCAGTAGTCATTGGATATTGTAGATCATTCCGGTAGTCTTGACCTATTTATTTATACAAAAAAACAGCCAGTAGTAATTGCATACTGTAGATCATTCAGGTAGTCTTTTAATTTGTACTGAAAAAAACAGACACATATACGAATATTAATTATATACTTACGAGACATGTTGCAATGTTAAACTTATTACGGTATGTGAAAATCAAGACTTGCATAAAAAATATCACAATATTAGAGACAGTGGCGTCATTTTTCCTCAGAGCTTTCAGCTCTTTGATTAACATGTAATTTCATCCCCTTACTTAATATTTCATGCATAAAATATCAAGAAATAAATTGGGAAAGTGTATCAAAAAAAAATGCAAGTTATACACTGTTCACACTAGGGACTATATTTGTAGACAACGAAAACCAAAGGACGATAACTGTGTCCTTGGACCTTGTGCAATGTCAATTTCATCATGGAACACTTTCTCCACAATCAGTGGTTCATTAAGAGATGAAAATAAGTTGGACATTTGTGTTACAATTTAAAAAGCTATCATTGTATTAGTTTAAGTTGCACCCTTCCCCAGTTTCTCAGCCTCATACAAAAAAGTTTATATTTTTCTGACATTGACCTTATATTGTTTATTTACTTCTTGCCAGAAAATTAGGCACTTATTGGCCTAGTTTTCTTTGTAGATAGATATAGGAAGATGTGGTATGAGTGCCAATGAGACAATAATTTAACTCTCCATCCAAGTAATAATTTATAAAAGTAAACCCTTATAGGTATACATTACATATGAAAACTAGAATATCATCTCTTGGTGTTTGTTGCTAAACAATAGTTTAGTTATGCAGTATACAGTAAAGTTTGATGTTTGCTTAACACATAATTTACTATTTCAATGAGTACTTACTGTGACACAAATTATTATTTGAATAACCTATGTATGAGCTTTCCATAATTTTTTTTTCGTGCTTAAAGATACTGATTTTATATTTGATTTAAAGTTTTGCATTTAGTTCTGGTTCTAAAAGTTACAGAATTATGGTCTCTGGTGTTATAGTAATGTGTTTTGATCTCACCTGGCCCAATGGGCCAATTGACCTTTCTTCTCATCACTTGGCATCTGTCGTCCGTTGTCTTAACTTTTACAAAAGTCTTTTCCTCGGAAACTATTGGGCCAGATTGAACCAAACTTGTCCACAATCATCCTTGGGGTATCTAATTTAAAAAAATGTGTCCGATGACCCGGCCAACCAACCAAGATGGTCGCCATGGCTAAAAATAGAACATAGGGGTAAAATATAGATTTTGGCTTATATCTCTGAAACCAAAGCATTTAGAGCAAATTAGACTCATCAGTAATGCTCAGACCAAAATAAGTAAAAAGCCAAACAAGTACAAAGCTGAAGAGCATTGAGGACCCAAAATTCTAAAAAGTTGTGGCAAATACGGCTAAGGTAATCTATGCCTGGGATAAGAAAATACTTCGTATTTCAAATAATTCATACTTTTTCATACAATTAATTTATACATATGACCATATAATTAATATTCATGTCAGCACTGGGTTTGTGGTTCATTAGTAATTATTATTATATTTATATTTTCAGATTGTTCAGTTGAGTAACAAAATGAAATTGCTGGAATCGGAACTCACTAGGCTGGGTGATCTGCAGTACCAATTTAATGAAAACATTTACAAGCAGTTTCCAGAAACATTGAAAAAACAGAAAATACACCATAATCTCCATACTGAGCAACAAATCAGACTTCATGGGGTCCCTATAGGTTATACTACTGGTAAAAGTTAATAAATGTTATTTTTATACACCTAGCTGTTGATTATTTGTTAATTTGCTATTCAAGATGTTTGGATTTTTTAGTACTAATTTATCAGTTGATTTTTTTTAAAACAAACTACAATTTGGTTGAATTTTAACAGGATTGATATTCCAGCATATAAAAGCATGTAGTCAAGTAATTGTTAAAACGATTTTCAAATTGAAAAAATTCAAAATTGAGAAAAGTAAAAAAAAAATATCTGGAATTGTTGAAAGACATGTTCAAGATGAAGAGACAAAAAGACAACTCAGACCACACAGAATTGTAAAAATTAAGAACTGAATGTTATATAATGCAACTTATTAATTTGACATATTTTTCAATTTACCTACAATTGTATAATTATTTTTTTTATTTTAGAGACAGGGGAAAGCTGGTGTGGTATAGTCAAACATTTTCAGAGCATTACAAACCACCACAATGCCAATAAAGACACAGCTTTGAAGTTAGCTCATGTTGAGGAAGTTTGCCATATCATTGACAGTGGGACATGGTTTTCAAATGGGAAAAGGTATAGGACAGCATTTATCATGTGATAATTCTTATATGATTTGCATATTTGGGAATACATTGATATTAGTCGAGAAAACTTCGAGTAGCTGTTCTTAATGTTGTTTTTTTTTTTGATAGACGACATTGACCTAACTTCTTTTCATAACCAATGTAAACAAAATGGTGGCAATGATAACACAATCTGGACCGAGGTTAACAAAATCTATTTTCACTTAGCGTTAATCGTTAAATAAAAAAATAAGCACAAAACATTTTTTTGAATGATGATAAGAGTTTTTGTAGTTTATTCTTTATCAGATAGCAAATTCACGAAGTACATATATTTTAGTTAACCAACATATATATTCTTGCGCTAGGCTTATTCAATTTCACAAATATAGAATTTACGTGTGATATGGGTTATGAGTATGGTTAAATGAATTCCTTATCTCCAATTCTAAAGAATTTTATCGCACAGCGGGTAAATTATCACGTTTTGATTGGTTTAAAGCCGTCATGTGGTGACCCCCTTATGGATCCGTAGGGGGTTAGTAAATTTCATAGGGGTTCATGACGTCACATCTACTGTTTATGGTGACGTCATCTATTACTGTTGTTGTGTTTCATTGTTTATTTTTCAGTAAAATGCCGCAGAAAAAGTCCAGCGAACGATAAATTCGTTATACGGTTAACTATATTGACCCCCTACGGACCATAGAGGGTGAATAAAATCCATAGGTGATTCGGCCTCCGGCCTCACCCCCTATGGATTTTACTAACCCTCTATGGATCGGTAGGGGTCAGTAGCGAACCATATAACTTATAATAAGGAGTAAACACCTTTTAAAGGAATTTATTGGTGTAGAAACTGGACCAAGTCACTCACAAACTTCAGACTTTTATTTGTTTGTGAGTGAATTGATTGAGTTTATACAGGGGAACTAAAAGTAATATATTTTTTTACAGAGTTCAACCTGCACAACAGACAATTGAAGAGATAAATCATCCACGGATTCAAACTTTTGTAATGGGAAATAGGACACAGAAAGAAGATGGTAGGATTTTAGTTTTGGATACAATAATTTTTTTTTAAAGTTGCTACAAGCTTTGAATGAAGTTGCAGAGGTTATCATGTTTTGACCCGTTGTCTGTCCTTATGTCAGTCTATCAGTCCTGTTCTTGTCATCGCAACTCCTCTAAACCACACACCAGAATTTCATGAAACTGGTAGATAATAAAGACATACTTTGAAGGTGTGCATATTGACAAGAAATTGATTCAATTTTTTTTTCTAGGAGTAATGCCCCTTTGAACTTATTTGCCTCAATATACTACTGCAACAGTTTGTCATCGCAGCTCCTCTGAAACTGCACAACAGAACACCCTGTTGATATCTGTTGGGCTGTTAATGTATGATAAGACACCTAATTGCAGGATAAATTTATAAACCAAAACACTGAAAGCTAAAGTTTTAGGCATTATGACTTCCCACAAGAAACTGGGAGTTGAAATCAGATGCTATAGAATTGTAAGCCTATTCTCCTTAACTAATGGCACCTGTAATGTTAAACAATTAAAAGTCAAATCATTAGAAGTCAAAGTATAGTATTTTAATGAGTCAATAAATAAGTTAAAAAGGAAGAATGAAAGGAAATATATGTTCAGCTGTTCTTGAAACACTTAACACCATTTTCTATACAATAAAACTGAATTCTTAAATAATTTAGCAGATATCACTTAAATGTATTATAGTCTTCTTACATTTTACAATTTTTATTAGAACAAATTATAGGAGTGAAAAGAAATGTAGGAGACGAAATCAGAAACATGAAAAGGAAGGATGGAAGTAAATTAAACATTGGAGAAATTGTTTATTTTAAATTAGATGACCATGTAAGTATGCCATTTTTTTTATTCCAGACAAGTTTGTTCACTGTGATTTTCTCACATGCTTTTATCATGATAGATAGACAATAATAGTGCATTGACTTGACATTTCAACCATATAAGGATGAGGGTTAGAAACAGGGAAATGCGAGGCTCTGCAATCTAGAGAAAAACATTTTCAATTGTTGTTTAATGTGTTAATATTATTTATTTGATTCAAATATTGTGAAAAATCGCCCTTTAAAAGGCCTCATATCAGGCGGAGAAATATGCAACACAGTGAACTGTACATTACCTGTTGAAACCCTCAATCGATGGTGAACAAATTTGTTTGAGTATGGACTAAATTATCAACTATACATAAATCATTTATAGATTTCAAACAAATATTATTAACAAATGAAATATGTTTTTCCAAAATATGAAATAATTAAGTTTGAGTCGTTCCACGCATCATTGTAACATTGGAAACAAGAACAGGTTGAAGAGGTAAATATTTATGAGGAAAAGTGATATCAGGTCAGTGACGGTATGTGACAAAGAAATATACAGTCAACGCATTTTGACTGCTCAAATAGAATGAGTGCAGTATGAAATAATACAATATGAGGATGAATACCATTAAACCCCGGAGCTTGTTCATTGTCCAATAGTTCCAAGCTAATGATTGCCATATTAGAGATATGAACATGTTCAATTTAAGATGAAAACACTAAGTTAATATCAAAAATTATTACATAAACATGTCTGTTTAAAAACTAATCTGTGTATCTCCGGGTGATTTAAAACAAAAACAAAAATCAGATGTTACACACCTATTATGTATTTCCCCAGATAAATCACTCAATAATGAAAATTTTTCCTTTTGATAAGTTCATTGTTCATTTTTAGAATTTAAACAATAAACTGATACCAAGGAGTAGAGATACATTAATAAATGCTTATAAATGATTTTTTTTATGGATTTTTATTGGTTGGAATCTAAAAGTTTAAATTTTAAGATCCAAATTTAAAGTTTTTACACCTACCTTAATCAATTGTTGTAAAAGATGCAAAATATCATAAATTATGCAAACAATTCAAATTTAAAGTTGTTATTTTTTTGAAAGATAAAGTATCTTTAAAATGTTCTTTTTCAGATTAATTATGGTAAAATTGACTGCAAAACCAGTTCAGATGTTACTGTTTTGTTGATGATACCTCACCAGGAAGATCCCTTATTCCATTGCAAGAGCCTTACACTCACCACAAGAAGAAAAAGCTTGCCTTACAATATCATTGAGGGCTCTTTGTTTGTATCTCATGATTGTAGAAATGGTGGATGCTGTTCCATGGTTACAAACCAATCTATTAGACAATTTCGTCATAATTATAAACATGGTGTCTATCTTATTAACAGATTTAAAATTCATTTTAATTATAAACAATTTAATTCCTGATTTAAGGGCATACTATATAGTTAAGCCATATGTTCAGGTTAAACACAATAAAGGGAACAGTCCAAGTTTGCACCTGGGGTAAGAAATAGAGATCAGCACAATTGAAAAAGAATTGTTATCCTCAATTAATAATATTCGATTTTTATAAAACTTATTTGGTAAGTGAAAAAACTACTGGAAATGTTTTACATTTTAATTTTACATTCTAATTTGTATTTGGTTAGGCAAGTGCTCAGGTCACAGACACTACTGGTAATAGTCACCTCTGGAAATGTATGTCTTTAATAAAATATAACAAGTCTTTAAAGCACTATTATAATTCCAAAATCAACTAATTATTATACCAAACAAAGAAATCACAGGAAAAATGTTATATCTTTTATATTCAGAAAAAAATAATACTACCATTCTTAATAAATGAAAAACCGGATTATTGGCTACCTTTTTCCATAAATTTTCTGAAAACATCAATACTTTAGGTGAATAAAATTTAGTCAAATATATTTTTCCGTCAGTCATACTACTGGAATTGTAAATAAGTCAAAAATAAAGGAAAATTTACCATAGAATATACTTGGGGTCATCAAAATAACTTTTACATGCATTCTTCAAACAAACAAAAAACTCTTATGTCAAATACAGATCTATAACAATTCTACATGATTGTGTTCATAATATGAATTTGAAATAATACCAAAAAATAGGCAATAGGGGCATTAAGAGTTACCCTTTACTGTCTGACCATCCCATTTTCGTCTCTGCACTTTAAATTAAGTATGACTTATAGAAATTTAATTAAACTCCTACACAACTCTAAATAAAAACTCACTTGCAGACAAGATCAAATTGAGCAGTATGTCAATAACCTTTCTAGAATTATGCCCCTTTATAACATGGAAAATTGCAACATTTTTTTTCTTGCAATCTAAAGTTTTCCTGATCCAAGTTTTATGAAACTCAAACAAAATGCTAAGAACCACGACAGGTAGACAAAATTCAAATATAGGTTGTGAGTCATTTACCATTTTTGAGTTATGCCCCTTTTTAACTTTGAAAATTGGAAAGTTTGGGTAGATACCTTCATATTCTAAGACACACTCTTATTCTATTTTTTTAAATTTTGTATCAAGCAATAAATGATGCTACATTAAGGCAGACTTCAAAGAATCTATACATTCAGCCATAGTAGTTAAACAAAAAATATTTATTGTTGTAGTGGACTGAAAATATTTTCAAGGCTATAAATGATCAACACTTAATAGATTTAAAAATGTATAGATAAGAAAATTAAGTTTTATTTCAATTTTTTATGGGCATTAAGATAATCTGAAAATGAATACATTTACAATTTGAATAAATTTAATGGAAAAAATATGGTCATTTTTGAAGGGCAATTTCAAAATTTCTGAAAAGGACAATTTTTGGATCTCTTATCTCACCTGAATTTAAAAATTATTTTAGTCAGAATTTTCAAATTTTGAATTAAGCTAAAGGATCCAATGGCTTATATTGATAAACATGATAAAGAAAACTGTATTTATTGTATTAAGTAGTTTAGCTGTATAGCTAACATAATGAAGACATATTGTAAATTTCCCTTTTATTGTGTTTCACCCTTTGTATGTGAATGTGTTTTAAGAATTTAACATAGACTACACATCATGTTTTATATTTGTATAAAAATAAGAGATGTAATATGAATGCAATTAAGACTATTATATATCCACTAGTCTGTTGTTGTTAACTTTTACAAAAATTTTCTCCTCTGAAACTACTGGGCCAATTTAACCAAATTTGACCACAATCATTATACAAAATGTAAGGGTGTCTAGTTTAAAATTTGTTCGACGACCCTGCCTGCCAACCAACATGGCTGCCATGACTAAAAATAGAACGTAAAATACCTGTTTTTTGCTTATATCTCTCAATCTAAAGCATTTAGAGTAAATTTGACATGGGTACAAATTTTCATCAGGTTTAAAAGCAGTCAACCAGTAGTTGGGTAACGCTGCACTTGAAATATTAATTTTAAGAAAATTTTGGAGGTTTTAGTTATCTTGAATATTTTCATATATAGAAATAAACTGTAAACCCAATAATATTCAGCAGAGTAAGATCTACAAATAAGTCAACTTACCAAAATTATCAATTGACTCCTTAAGGAGTTATTGCCCTAAATAGTCAATTTTTACCAATTATTTGTAAATTTTTGTCATATTTTACAAAAATCTTTTTCCTGAAAATAGAACATATAGGTTAAATGCAGTTTTTGGCTTATAACTCTGAAACTTCTAAGACAAATTTAATCATCCTTGGCCACAATCATGAAGAGGGTATCTAGTTTAAAATTGTGTCTGATGACCCTGTCTGCTAACCAACATGCTTGACATGGTTAAAAACAGAACATACATGTAATGGTAAAATGAGTTCTTGGCTTATAACTCTGAAACTTAAGCAAAAGTATAATGGTTGCATTATTTTATGCATCAATTGTAAACAAAAAATTCAGGTGAACGACACAGGCTCCTTGCTTCTTGATATTGTTAAGAAATATATTAAATTCAAGAGGAAAACGGAGATGATTTCTTTCAATTTTACTGATAGTACTCATGGAAATAAGGTCTTAAATGTAATTAAGAAGCATACAGAGATTTTTTTTAAATCTGTATTTATACTGATTACAATCTAAATGAAAGCTATAACTGTATTAGAATTTGGTAAAAATACCAAAGTGTACCACTAACTGAGCATTGCTATCTCATAGATTGAGCCATTTGCTTCCTTGTTTAGTATATTTCTTAGTAAAGTTTATTTATCAGTGTACATGAGTATCTGGTAAATTTAATTTCTAAAACTAAAAATAACAATATCAAACCTTTTGCATTTTGGCATTTTACAAGATTTGCATAAGAAATTTCGTGAAAATTTTAATGTACAATAAATCAATATATGTAAAGATATCTGGTTTTGAACACAACCATATTGTAAAATATCAGCAGTGAGTGCAGTCAATGATCTGAAAGGCAAAACAAAAACTTATTTTGTATTGATTGGTATAATGGTATAATGGTGTGATGGTGTTGTTGAATATCTGTAGACACTGTGTAATTATTCAGTTATTATGAACCAAAACATGAGAATTTTTTTACTATAACAATGTTTAAGACCATAAAAAAAAGCCTGTTCTAGACCCTCAAAAAAGGGGCTCAAAACAGGTTAATCACTTTATTGCAATACAACATTTTATTAAAAAGTATGATGGAAAGCCTTTTTTCTTTGTATTCTTTGTATAATTTCCATTGTGATTTATATGACAGTTTTAATATAACATTTATGGTTTATGAGTCAATAGTTGTCTATACAGGGGTCAACCCTAAGTATTTGAAGTTGGAATTTTTTCTTTGTATACCATGTGAAAATTCTGGCCATTTATATTTGTGCTAGACTTTATTGGGTATCTCCATTCAAAAGGCCAAAATTTCCACTTTATTCCTATGAATTTTTTTCCCTAAATAGCCAGTGCTTATTCATAAATGATTTAAGTATTTAAATTTTCCTTGGTGATATTTTAAGCATGAATTATGATGCATTAATCACAGCCCTTTACATGTATCTAATCTTTATTGCCTTACCAGAGGTATACTTGATAAGTTCTCTCTCATTGTGACATGACTGATTAATCCTGCACTTTTAAAAGATATGATAATGTTGCTGATACAAGCTTTATCTCTTTATCTTATCATTTTACAGGCAATTGAAGTACATCCAATCATATTGCTAAATCATGTAAAATTACATATGTAGGATAAAAAAAGTTGTTTGATTTATTGAGAAATTATAGATATTAACTCTATGATGTTGAGAAGAGTGGTGATGTCAGAAGGCATCGATATGCCCCTGCTGTAGCAGAGGGGGCATTACATTTTACCTTTGTCTGTCTGTACCTCAGTATGTCTGTATATAAGTCTGTACGTCCCAAAGTTGGTTCAAAACTGTCCGTTATCTTACTTTAGTTTGCCTCAACCAAATGTTATGAAACTTATACACAATGCTAGTTAACACAACACACAGATCAAGTTTGAATTTTGGTGGTGTCACTTTAATCGTTCTAGAGTTATGTCCCTTTTCAACGGGAAAAAATGCTGATTTTGTTTTCGTTTCTGTAATCCAACATAAGTTTACTACAACCAAATGTTATAAAACTTATAGACAATGCTTATTCAACAAAGTACTGATCAAGTTTGAATTTTGGGAGTGTACCAATTTTTTTTTGTAGAGTTATGCCTCTATACAAATGTTTTTGTTTCTGTTCTCCAACTTAAGTCATCTCAACCAAATTTTATGAAACTTACACACAATACTTATGTCCCTTTATATAATATGCAAGCAGTGGTATCATCTGTGTCCAATGAACACATTCTCTATTTTTTTCTATGGCCATCACCAACACAACTGCATTTAACTTTGCAAACAATTTGAACTTTGTAACCCATACAAAAATAATTTAAAGCATTCTAACACCCATATTTTTTTTTCTGTAATAGCCCTAACCTGATTTGAGTAATGCTCAAAGGTGATTTTGATAATTCGTAATTTATATGTAGAAAGATATTGTATATACACATGCATATAAACTACCAAAAAACTGTGTCTGTTTGTTTAATTTATGTTTATTCATTATAACTCTATTGCACATCATTACAGAAAAAAACAGTTTTTATCTCTCCTCGACAAGAGATTAAATTTGAGACTTAGGTATGCTATAAACAGGAAATGTCAGTTGAAGTGGAACCACTAATGGTATGTCCATGATATGTGGCATGCAGCTCCCATCTCATGTACTTCCATGGAGATAATTTGGCCGGCCCCATCAGTTATGGTCCATTGACTCTGAAACTTTTTTCTATTTAACTAACTTTCATAATTTATACATTAGACACACATTTGTGTCTTAAGCCACAAAAAACTATGAAATATTATCAAGGCCATGTAATACCAGAGAAAGGTTTGGTCAGTTAAAGAAAGAATTCCAGCATGTAAACCTGTAAGAATTCAGATCTATGCATGCTAAAATATCTGTTCTTTCTGTTGTAAATAATTTAGATGAGAATTAAGTTGAAACCTACAGAAAACCTGATAGACAATTAACTTTCAGAAAATATTCTCTGAAACCGCTTGACATGCAGGGCTAAAACAGCAACCATGGCAAAAATATACCTCGAAATTTTATTATTTATTACCGGTAAGGCTGTTCAAATCATTTACAAATGTTCCATCAAGTATGTTATCGATTCTGATCAACTCTGTGACATCATAACACGGAATTTGTACTAATGTAAAAATAAGAAGATGCGGTATGATTGCCAATGAGACAACACTTGAGACCAAATGAC